TCTCGTGGATTCTGTAATTAATTATGGCCTTTCAGCATATGGACGTACGTTCCGAACGTACATGGATAGGATACATAACCTTCAACTAAGATTTATTAAACTGTTAGTTAGTAAGCAAGCTAAAGAGAAAAGTAAGGGTAACTATAATCTATTGTTTAAGAAATGCAATATTCTACCAGTACGTGAAAAAACAAAGTATTTATTAGCAATTGAAGGATACAAAAGTAAATTTTTAGTTAGGAAATCAATTTATGGTAATTTAAGAAAGAATACACGTAAATTGTTTGAGGAACCAAGTGCGCAAAACTACTTTGGTGAAAGGACGCGTAGGTATTTAGTGCCAAGAATATTTAATGAAAACGTGCCACAAGAGGCCTGTAAGACAAAACAAATTTTTAAAAACAAATTGAAATATTGGCTACTGAATGCCATCGGAGACCTGTAGTATTAGAGTAGTAATATTTAGTTTATTATTAATTATTAATCTTAATTATTTTTTATTAATCTTTATTCATTATTAATTTAATTTAAGATATTCGTTTTCTGTCTTTTATAGCTTTGTTATTAATTTAGTGATAAGTGTACTTTACCTACTTAGTCTTTAATTTTTTTTTAATTACTTTATAAGTTTACTATATGTTTTGTTTTAAAATTTATTTTAGAGAAATATTAAAATGCAATTGTAAACCTTAATGAGTGCAGTTTCGCCAATAAACTGTATTCTCAGTTTGGCGAACTTAATGTTTTTTGAACCAATTGTATTTACTATGATAATAAATAAATTAAAAAAAAAAATATATTTTTTGGGAAGAAATTTTGGAGAGATTTAATGTAGTTAATAAAAAAGTACAGAGCCCTGGTTTAGACATTGGTGAAGGCAATAAGTTAATTGTGTCATTAAAAGAGTTCGTGAAAAACATAAGGCAACAATCAGATCAGAAGCTAAAGGAATACGAAAAGAAAGCTAAAAAATTAAGTACTAGTGTGGAAACAGACTACAGTGACATAAATAAGAGACGCATTACTTCAAAATTTTCAGATAAATCTACAGATAAAGTCTCAGTAAACGGCGCAGAAAAATTTAAAAGAGACACGCTTAACGTTGCGTTGTATAAGATGATTATGGATTTAAATTATAGAAGCCAAGCCTATGAGACCTACAGCAAAAAATTTAAATTTTTAATGGATTTGCAAGATAGAAATCAAGAACACATAGATCTGGAAAGTGTACGTAATATTATTGATTATTATCCAAATGACATAGACGAACATTTAGTGAATGAGTGCATTCAGTTAAAATCTTACTTACTGCAGTCTAAGACAGAGTCTTACACCTCTTGCAGTGAAATTTTTTGGCTAATTTATGAAAAGAATCTTGTTGATGTTTTCCCAAACTGCTATACCATCTTAAAGATTTTTTTAACGATGCCGATCACTAGCTGTGAAGCGGAGCGTTCTTTCTCCAGGATGTCGTATATAGAAAACAAATACAGGACAACAATGTCGAACTATCGACTAAATCATTTATCAGTTCTTTCAATAAATTGCGATTTAACAAAGGACCTACAGTGCGATGACCAAATAAAAGAATTTGCAGCACAAAAATGCAGAAAGGTTGCTTTATAATTTATATAACATAACCATCTATAACCTGTCAATTTATTTTGCAATAAATAATGTTTTAATAAATAAATAAAATATTTTGTTTTCCTATTTTCTTCCTGTACTTAACATATATTACATTACATATACCTACATCACTTCAGAAAACAGTTTCTTGTCAAAATGGCAATTAGTTGAGTAATTAGGTAGGGCCCCTAAGCAGTATTAGCCCAGGGCCCCACAAATTCAAGATCCGCCCCTGATGGTCACGGGGGACTGGTTGCTGTAAAACATCCGAAACGTCGGGAATTAATTAAAAAAAAATTAAACGCGATAGAATCCATACAAGTAGTTTTATTCAATGCGTAGTGTTCGCGTAAATATAAGAAATCATTAAAGTATTTTTTTTTTCTATTAAAGGCGTTACTAAGCTTATAACTCGTCCAATTGGTTTTCACCTACTCTTTAAAATAGTTTCGTAGGTCTGTTGGGTCCAAAACGTTGACTATTTGCATATTCGATAGTTTTTCTCTCAGGAGCAAATATTTTTTCATCCACATTTAACTTTCCTTTCTTTTTTTAGCTTGGCCTTACACGTTACCGCCAGCTAAAGTTTTTTTTATAGGATAGGGTGACAAACGAGCACACAGTCCACCCGATGGTAAGTGGTTGCTGTGGCCCATAGATACCTACATTTATCCTCGTATGCGAATCAAAATGCAGATGCGTTGTCACCCGTGAGGACTGAGATGGAATGCCTCTTTTCCAGTAAAAAGGGTCTCCGGTTCTCTATACTCACCATACGAAACACAGCAGTGTTAAGCTGCTATTTTACGCTGGTATTCTGTGAGAGCGTGGTCCTTCCCCGGTCGAGCCGACCCATTCGTACTACAACTATACTACTAATATAGCTATAGCATGGCATTACCACGTAAAAAAAACAATAAAGCAATTTTTTGACGTTTAGATAAAGTCTGCGCCATAATGCTAGACGTGCAATTATTTCCACGTTCGAGTAACAACTGAGGCAGGAAGCGATTTCTAGCGTAGTGTAATAAGCAGCGCCCTGTCTGGTAGGCAGGGCACACGATGGACAGGGCCCGATAAATCGTGTAATGTAATAAGCCTTTAAGCAATATATTGAAGCGAGCGACGTGCCGCCGGCAAAATGCTCAAGGTCGTTCGCATGGAGTAGCCCCTAATTACAGTAAAGTAAAACTAACTGTATTACTTTACTGTAAGGGACGCGCCATACTTCTTGGTGTCATTTAAAAAAGCAATTGTATATTGTCTGTAAATAGGAAAATAGTTTGCGTAATGCAAAAATACATTACTTAAACATTCATTAGGTATGGGGTTTAATATATACCTGTTATAGAATGGAGGAAAAATGGTGGTATTCATATTGTAAATCAATAAATTGTTGGAAACGTACTTTTTTAATTATTTTGTTTTCCGATTCGTCTTTTATTGACAACAATAATGACGTGAGTTATTGTAAATGAGGTTGAGAAACCTGTCTCTGTTTATTATGTGTAACTTAAAGAATTTAATAAATCGAACTAAAAGATACGGCTATGCCCATACCATTAGCTTCATCGTTAGTCAAGCTAAATAAAGGCCAGGCAATGTTTTAAACGTGGTAGAGCTATGCTGCAGCTATATTACTGGTATAGTTGTAGCACGAATGGGTCGGCTCGACCGGGGAAGGACCACGCTCTCAAAGAATAAATAAATAAAATAGCCTTATTCCTACTACAATAAAATTGACTTTTGATTAACCGGTTCAGTGCGGTTCGATTTATCTATTAGATATATATTTTATCGATTACTTTTGTGCGTGGCGAATGACACGCGAGTCGCGTCTTTTTAAAAATCGTGATAACTCGCTCAAATTGCGTTTTTGGAAGATTTATCCAGAACAAAATATTATTTAGTTCATGCCTACAGCTTCGTTTTGTGGATATTTTGAAAATTTGAAATTTTTAGGGGTTGTCAACCTTTTTTTAACTTGTACATGGTACTCTTTTTACTTTGTGGGTTTTTTCAATCCTGTTGTGGATAAATAGTCTCATAAGTAACAAATAATAGCACTCATTGCGATCGCTCACAAACTCAAATTGTAAACAAGTTTCTGGAAAACAAGTCTGGAAAACAAGGTTTATTTTTGCTTGAAACAGCTCGAAACCTTTCATGCATAAAATTTCGCTAATAAATAGTCTTTTGTCAATCCGTCGCCGTACATCGCCGGCGTTTCTTTCCTTTTGAAAACACTTGTTTTGCTATTCTTACTAATTAGACGCTTTTAGATCGACTTTACTTTTACATTTGTATAACATTAAATAATATTTAATATTTGTAAATATCAATGAATCATAAACCTTATTTTTTTCCAAAATAAGGTTCTTCATTGTTTGATATTTACAAATGTTATTATTAGGTGAAAATTTAATTTAATAAAAACTAAAGTTTTCAAGGGTGATTTAGCTGTACCTACTTATATAAATGATTTTTTATAAAACAAAAAATAAAAATAAAAATAGTACAAAAGGTTTGTAATCTCTGCATAAAAAATGTCACTTACTCTCAATTTCAAAGAAAACACGTAGAAAAACACGTAACTACCCACTAAAAACAAGTATTCTTCCGTTTGTAACTGATGTTTGATGTCAACTAAACTTAATTAAGTCTAAACAAGTGAAAAAAGCATAAAAAAGAAAATTATTTTTACACATGGCTGATGACACAATAGGCGTGTCATCAACTTCTGTGGCGCTTGACAAACCAGGTGTGTCACGAAATATTTGTTCGCCGCCACAGCTAATAGTTGTCGAAAATCGGTGCCGCAACGAATCGATTAAACTTACTAAACTGCATATTTTACTTTTCGTAACTAAAAGCTATTGAAAAAATCTGCATTCTAAAGTTGATACTAAAAAACCCTCCATAACAAAGTAAATCTCCACAAGTGTGAGGCTGTGAGATAATTTGGGTCATCTGATGACCGTCATCGTAGTCATCATTACAAACCTTCACAAGTCCATTGCTGAACATAAGCTTCTCCAAAGGAATGCAATAAAACACGGTTCTGACCCACTTACATTCATCGACTTTTTGCATGTCTTACTAGGTCGTCACTCTATCTAGTGGGAGGCCGCCCTACACTTCGCCTACTGGTACGAGGCTGCCACTTAAGAACCTTTCCGCCCAAATCCACTTCAGCTTACTAATCCGTTAGTAAGCTAAGCTTATCTCTTAGTAAGCTAAGCTTATTTCTTAGTAAGCTAGCAAATCCGTTAGTAAGCTAGTAGTATGGGTAGATAGATATTATTATAGACATTCCACATAAAATATCGAATAAAATGAATTATGAACAAAAATATAAACAGAATTCATACCTTGCAGTTCTTTGTCTTCCTTTATCCTCTAAAAATTCTTTTACTATGTGTTTAGACTTTAGAGTCCTGCAAATTGTTCGGCTAGTGTAAAATTCTATACCTAGTATTTGAGCCAACTCAATTTGGGTCAGTCCCTTTAGACCTGCATCTAAGAATCTTTCATATGCCTGCCTTAGTAAACTAACTCCAACTTTGTACTGACACTCTAATGGAGTACCATATGTGTCATCATCAGAGTGAGCTGAATCTTCACTAGATATTTCTAAAGTAATATATCTCCTTTTAGCATATGCCTTTGGTCTTTTATTTTTGGAAATTTCTTCTAATTTGGGGTGCTTTTCTCGCTAAAAATATCAAATGTATTGTATTTAAACATGTTTATGAAAAAACCAGCCATCAATTAATTTTATTTATAAGTAAAATATTGTTGGTACTTACAAAATTAAATACATTAATAGTCTTTTGAAGTCTTTTGCTGTGCTGTTGGTTTAAATACCCAGATTTTATCAGCAATTCTACCTTTTCTGAGTAATCTGGTTTTTTCTTTAAATATTCTATAAGATTGTGTAGTTTTCCAACTTTTGGTGATGACAGAAGAACTGGTTGATGAAATCTCTTCAATCTAAGTAATATACTTTTCATCCCCCTGCCAAGTACTATTTGGGTGTGACATTGTGTTCTGATTAAGCCTAAATCTTGTAAATGTTTTCTGTTGTAAAACAGATGTTTCGGGTCTTTCATTATTTTTGTTAAATTTGTATTACCCACTGTCATTTGTCCCTAAAATGTAGTCAAAATATTTTTTTTTATAAAACCAAAACGACAAATGAACTTACAATCCACTTGATGGTAAGTGGCTAAAGCACTCCATAGACCTGCAGCTAACTCTAAACAAAGAAAGATTCAGATGCGTTGTCACCTTTGTTGACTGAGATGGAAGCCTCGCAGCCTGTTATTTTATACTGCCTCCTGTATCTTTCACAGTGGGACAGCACGGCTAGGTAAGGTAAACAGATAAGAGGATAGTGCATACCCTGACGGAATCCTAGTCGGAAAAGAGGTCCTACTTCCTAGAAAATGTTTGTTTCTTAAGGGCGTCACTAGTTTATCCTTGGGCAAAATCCAAATTGTTGGGTTTCAGGTCTGATTTTGTTGTGAATATCTTCATGTTTGTAACTTTGCGTCCTATTCTATCACAAAGTAATGCTTGTGTTAGGTTCAGGTTATCACATAAGCATTAATATTTATTTATAATTAGCGATTCGCCCCGGCTTCGCACGGGTGATTTACCTATGTAAATGTAAACTACACACCGGCACAATTAGCGGAACAGAAAAAAAAGTGAGACTATGAGATAATAACGCATATATTTGACGAAAATGTAATTAGACACAAAACAAATTGATTAACATCTTTTAACAACGACTTTGAAAAGTCTTCGTTATTTTTTATTGAAAAATAAAGAAATTTGAAATAAGTGAAATTTTTAGATGATTATGAACCATCACAAAAAAATAAAAAAAAAGTAAGCATTAAATGATTTAACAATAAAATTAAAGCAAAATTAATAACGAGTGTTTCCCCCTCTTGCTCTGATTACGGTTTCCATTCGTCTGGGCATGCTACAGATTATGTTATCGATGATTTCTTGAGGCAACCGCTCCCACTCCTCAAGTAATGCGTTTCCAAGTTCATTCAGATTGTTGGGGGGTGGCATTCTAGATTTAACCCTTCTTTTTAGCAAGTCCCAGACATGCTCTATCGGATTCATATCGGGGGAATTTGCTGGCCACTGCATCACCGGTATACCTACGTGGCTCAGATATGCCTGTACCGATTGTGCACTATGAGCACGAGCATTATCTTGCATTAGAATAAAGTCGTCACCAATAAATGGGGCAAATGGTACAACATGTTCTTCTAAAATGTCTCTGATGTATCGATCTGCTGTCATGGTCCCTCCTGTGACTATCACTAACTCCGTGCGAGCTCCCAAACATATCCCTCCCCAAACCATAATCGAGCCGCCACCATAAGCCACTGTGTGTTCAAAATTAGACTGTATGTGGCGTTCTCCTTTGCGTCTCCATATTCGCTGTCTCCCATCGATCTGTTTTAAAAGAACTCTGCACTCATCAGTAAAGATAACCTGCTGCCATTCGTTCAAATCCCAATGACGATGTTCTCGCATAGCTTAATCGGTTTACGCGGTGACGTCTCTCAAGTTTTGGGCCTTTGGCAAGTATATACGACCCTAAACCAACTTCTTCAAATCTCCTGCGAACTGTACGCTCACTTACTCGTACTCCTCGAACGTCTTCCAGTTCATTTCGAGCTTGTACAGCCGTTAATCGCGTATTCCTACGAACTCCAAGTTGTAAAAAACTGTCATCTCGCCTCGATGTACATCTTTTTCTACCTTGACCCCTCCTCCTCACAAGAGAATTAGACGATCTGTACCGCTGGATGCTGCGATGAATCGTTGATACTGGTCGACGAAGCCTTGAGGCAATCGATCTGTAGGTATGGCTATTTCTTCTCATTTCATCAGCCCTAATGATTTCCAGTGATGTTAAGTCAGGCATAATAAAGAGCTTTTAATAAACAAAATTGCCTATAGAATAACAAATTTATAAAAAACCATTAAGTACATTTTTCACAATTACGTAGTTATTACTCGAACAAGTTGACAAAACGTATTGTTCGGGAAAATAAAACAAATGAATGAAAAAAGTGTATGTCATCTAATTTTCTATTTTCAAATTTGACAATAAATTAAAAAAATATCATAACTGGCCAGTTCCTCAAGTAAAAGATTTTAAAATCCTGCTTTTTTTGTGTTCCGCTAATTGTGCCGGTGTCTATATATACGGACCCATTCAAATACACACAAAAAATTTCATCACAATCGGTCGAGCCGATTTTGAGTTTTAGCCTAACGGCAGCAATTGTTTTTATATACACCCATATTTTGTAATTACCAAAAAAGTGCTTTCAGTATCTGATATTAATTACATTTACGTAGAAAAAACTTAATATATACAAGCACTATATGACGCTTTAATCGCCTGCTAATTTTTTTTTATAACATTAAGAGTCCACATGATTGTGATCAACAGTCAACTTAAACAAATAAAACCCGCCAAGTGCGAGTCGGACTCGTGCACCGAGGGTTCCGAACAAATCCGTAGGTATATAAGTTTAAAATTATTAAAAATATTTTTATTATATGATGTAACTAAAAATTTATGCTTTTCGCAATTTTTCCTTTATCTGTGCTATAATACGTTGCTTCCAACCAAATTTTAAGATTCTGAGTTCACGGGAAGTACTCTGTAGGTTTTGATTCCCTTGAGAATATCGAAAATTTGCGGCATAAACGGCTGTATGTTTTGATTGCGTTGGCTAAGAAGTTTGATTTTTTGACAGCTCCAAGGGACAGTAGACATGAGTATTTGATATGAATTTCAGCTTGATACCTCCACGCGGTCCTGAGAAAAAGGCTCTTGACAGACAGACGAACAACAAAGTGATCCTATAAGGGTTCTGTTTTTTCCTTTTGAGGTACGGAACCCTAAAAAGGATAATAATTAGTTACCCTCATTTATTATACGTAAAAAACTACGTATACTTACAACCTACTGATGTTTGAGTTTGACTCCAATTCGATCCATTCATAAATTGCTTGCTGTCTCGCTCACGCGCCGCCCTGTCGCGACAAGCTGACCACCCGGGCAATTTTTTGCATTTTTAATTTTGTTTGTAATTTGTACTACGAAGTGCCACACCACGCGCGTTTGCAAATTAATCTAACTACTTTTCATTTTGTGTTCTGCTTTTCGCGATGGCTTATCAGTTCACTAACAGTGAATACGTGCACATGTTACAGACGTATTTTTTGTCCGGGGAAAATGTGCCCGAAGCCTTGCGGATGTATGTATCGCGAATTGTACCCAAACAATCGACAGCCGAGTCACTCACTCTACGATGACCAGCATTTACTAACGCTTATTGGATAATGGCTTTTTTACGTACTGTCGCATGCAAAAGAACGAGGGGGAGCTGCATACTTCCAAAACTTCTACGATGACGTCCTGAATTACTTTGAAGAAGATCCTCGGAGGAGCACGCGTGACGCGGCACATCGCTTCGTTATAAGCCAGTCATGCGCTCGAAATATTAAAATGCGCTCAGCTACGATGCACCCTTACCATTACATTAAGACCCAGGAGCTGATAACCATCGATAGAGCACCGAGGATAGCGTTTTGCAATTGGGTGTTGGAAAATACCGATGCGATCGTGTTGTTATGGGACGAAAGTCTTTTACACGAATCGGATTAATCAATCAGCACAACGCAACGAACATTGGTGGTCCACTCGGAACCCCAAGCTTACGAAACAGCATTCCTATCAACATAGGTTTAGTGTAAATATATGGGCGGGAATACTGAATGATAAACTGATTGGGCCATTTTTTATCCAGGACGCCTCACAGGTGAATCGTATTTAAATCTGATGCGAACCATTGTAAATACGAAGTTAGTAAGTTGGACGATATTCCAATAGCAACAATGCGGGAGCTATGGTTTCAGCAGCACGGCGCGAAACAGCACTATCATCGCGCAGTGCAAGAGTACTTGACCACTCAGTTGACCAATCCATCGAGTGCCAAACCCCTCAGTTTGGCACTCGATGGATTGCTCGCTGTGCCCCAGTTGCATGGCCCCCGCGCTTACCCGACCAAATGACTGCCGATCAATGGATTTTTTTTTGTGAAGCGAAATAGAAAGACTAGTGTATGTGAGTGAGTCTACCAATATGCAAGACCTAAAACAGCACATAATAGACACTTTTGATAAGGTGAAAGGGCAAGGCGTTTTAATGTCTCTCAAAATATTTTTATTTGTGATTAATTGCAACTTTGCCTTTATACTTTTAGGAGCTTAGTACCGGCAAAATTATTTTCCAATAAAATAAGTAATAAGAAAATAATAAAATTGGATGACTTACAGAGCAGACACTGAAAATAATATTGGCGTATCAAAACGTAGCAATCAGCTATTTACAACAATTAAATTATTTACAGTATGAACTTACATCTACGCATGCACTTATTTACACTATCATTAATCTACAAGTATTTTATAAGTTGTTCAGTGTCATCTTCATTGTCAATGCAAACACATGCATGTTTTATTAAATTGTTTAATTTAATTTATTAATTTATTTTTATTGTTTTATTAAATTAAACAATTTATATACCCGATGGTAAATAAATTGTTTAATTTAATAAAACATGCATGTGTTTGCATTGACAATGAAGATGGACACTGAACAACTTATAAAATACTTGTAGATTAATGATAGTGTAAATAAGTGCATGCGTAGATGTAAGTTCATACTGTAAATAATTTAATTGTTGTAAATAGCTGATTGCTACGTTTTGATACGCCAATATTATTTTCCGTGTCTGCTCTGTAAGTCATCTAATTTTATTATTTTCTTATTACTTATTTTATTGGAAAATAATTTTGCCGGTCCTAAGCTCCTAAAAGTATAAAGGCAAAGTTGCAATTAATCACAAATAAAAATATTTTCAAGCCGAAACTTACGCCTTTTTCACGATACAACTTACCTATCCAATCAAAATATTATTTAGGCATTCATTTTCTGAGCCGTTGAAGTAAGTGAGAGAATACAACGAGTCAGAAAGGAGTTATGACGTAGATACTGTACTAATGGTGGGAGATGGAACGGGATAGTCTTATGAATGGAGTTATAACATACGCTATTGACCTGTGTAGTTCTAGGGGTAAGGTGAAAGTAAGTCGCCTGAATTGGTGATGGTGGGGTGGTAGGGGGAAGGAGGGGGGAGTTGTAGAGTCGCCCACCACTTCCCTTTCCTACCGGACATGCTGTTTTTTTATAAATTTTTAAAAATCTCAATTTGAGGTTACGTTTTCGTAATATTTTGACAATATAAACCTGATTCATGGGGGGAGAGTTGGGGAAGGGTAACCCAACGCCACTCAACGTGGCGTAGTCGAAGGAAGCTCGGTCGACGGAGCCCCGCTTAGCGGGGCTTCTACTTCGAGTGGTTTATAAAAAAATCCCCTTCTAACGTAACCAGTCCGGGTCGGGGTACCCCAAGTCACAAGCTCGCTTCGCTTGCTCTTGCACTCAATAAAACACCAAAACATTAACTTTTATAATTTTTTTTTTATAGAATAAGGGTGACAAATGAGCACACAGTCCACCCGATGGTAAGTGGTTGCTATGGCCCATAGACATTTACATCTATCTTCGTTTGCGAATTAAAATGCAGATGCGTTGTCAGCCGTGAGGACTAAGATAGAATGCCCCTTTTTCAGTAAAAAGGGTCACTAGTTCTCTACACTCACCATATGAAACACAGTAGCATTAATCTGCTATTTTACGCCGGTATTCTGTGAGAGCGTGGTCCTTCCCCAGTCGAGCCGACCCATACGTGTTACAACTATACTATTTATATAGCTGCAGCATGGCTCTACCATGTAAAAAATTAGTTTAATTTATAAACATAATTTATAGCTATCACCATTTATAAAAAAGGATCTTTGCAAAATTAGCAAAGCTTAGCGAAATCGTCGAAAAACAGGAGGAGGCAGGTAAAAACATTAGGGAACACATTCACTTTCTTCCCAGGACAAAAATAAGTAATAATCCCAGGATAAAAATTATTCTATTCTATACTTACATTTTCTCTAGCTTTGCCAATTAATTCTAATATACAGTAATGTACTGTACTAAGTTGTGACAAATATGAAATTGGAACATGACATGCTAAAGCTTTCCAACGCTCCTCTAAATTTGCAACAATTGCCAGATGGTCATTATACTGTGCCACTACATCCTCATAAGTTAAAGCTTGTATTTTACGTGTGTTTATTAACACCCTTTTGCTAAAGTGGACTGATGAACCATACTCATTTTCAACAGGAGAGTATTCATAAGGACCATCTATATATTCTTCCTGAAACATAAATAATACTTTCATTAGCAAAAAAAAAATTATTGACATATTATCTTTTTCACAAAAGTTTTAAGTGTGCTAGAGCCAGGCTGCAGCTATATTATGGTTGTAGCACAAATGGTTCGGCTTTACCAGGGAAGAACCATTCTCATACAGAATGCCAATGTAAAATAGCTGCTGTTTCATATGAAGACTGTTGAGAACCGGAGATGGCCTGCTTGTACAATTTTTCCAATGTTTTGTATGCTCACTACTGTAATCAGTTGCTTCAGGTGGCGGTTGTCCTCCAGCTACCTTGTTAAGTAGTTGTTTATGAAGGAATTGTGAAGAACCAATGACATCTTTTCAGTAGTACAATATATCAAGACTTCATACATTTCCATACAAAAAAAACTTGTTTTAATTAATATTTACCAACTATAAATCTTACACAAATAATCTTTGTAGCCACTAGCATATTTTTCATGTCAAATGGGGAAAAAATATTTTTCTTCAAAAATTTAGTAAATATGTTTAAATTCATTTATTTGTGAATAGGTGCTGTATTGATACTTTGTAGTGGGGGTGCAAGAATATTCACCATCACATATCGACCTGTGGGTTTCATAAGAGGCAACAGAAGGTAATGAATCAGAAGATGGGCAACAGTATCTTCATAATAACAACTAAAAATAAAAAAAAACTGCAGTTGCCAACCCGCTTACCAAGCTTTGCAACAATGGCAAATATCCCAATTATGAGGCCTATTATGCAATCTTTTTTTAACTGACTAACAACTAGTCTAGCTAACTCAATTGTATTACCTTTGTTACACAAATTATCTATGATATATATATATATATACATATATTATAAACTTACAGGATCAAGAAGTTGTCCTGTAGCTTCATGTACTATTGAAAATCGATCTAAGATTTCTATGTCGGGCATTGCTTCTGGTACTTGATAAAATGATACATTTGAGAAATTGACAATGAACTTCCAAAATCTTATTTTCATCTTCTCAGTCACATTTGATGCAATTCGCTTTTCTATGCGTTTCCATAGCAATTTTATTCCAATGCCTTCAAGACCTTCTAAAGCTATTTCATCTATAATTATCTCTTTAAAATCGAATGTGAACTGTTTTTGGTAATTGGGTTCCATTTTTATTTAAGTGAAAATTTTAGCTTACAATATTAAAATATTTATTTTTATAACTGCATTTCGTCGCTATCAGTTTAATGTGATGATTGGTGATGATCTGTTGATGATCTGTTATGATCATGAGGCTGATATTATTTTTTAGAAAATTCTAACCTTTACAAAACCAATAAAATGTAAATAATAGGGAAAGCCTTGTGGAAAAATATCGACATATCATATCGATATTATTGTTTGACATAGCGATATTTTTGGTGATATCTTTTATTTCGATATATCAATATAAAATATTTATGTTATCAAATGCGATATATTTCCAAAACCAAAACCGTTGTCACCAGTCGCCAGTCACCACTGACTAAAACCCCTGGAATTTAAAATATCGATGAAAATTTTGGACTGACCGCCACTATTTCATCAGAGTCTCTTCAGAAATAGCGCTAAACTATTCGGTATCTACGATAGACTTAGAATATACTGGCGTACAGTATATTCTAAGTCTATGGTATCTAGTACATCCTCAGTTTCATCAGAGAGAGGGGCATCAGTTGTTGATATTAGCGTAGGTATTCAATAACAGAAGTCGACTGTCGTGACTGTTTCTTTCATTTCTTTCGGATAAATAAGTATTGGTTTGCATAAGTGCATTTAATTGTACATTCTATTTTGTTCGATTGAAAAGCATTATATTTTATTAATGTTTTATTAATTTATGATTTGATAAGGTAGGTATGTAAGTATACATGTGATAGGGTTGTTCCGATATACACTGCGAGCACTGCTCAGTGCTCTCACTGGTGCAAAATTCGTTCCGTTATGAACTGCCAGTATACTGCCACAGTACCCTAAGGAAATATACGCGGACATTTTTGTACTGCGAGCTAGCACTTTCAAGATTAGGTGCTCTCAGTACTTTGATCACTTGATCAAAAAACATAACAGCGCCTAGAGATTCAACAGCTTCCACGAATGTATGTTATTATTATTAATTAATATTGTTATTCAAATAAACTCGGACATTAAGTTTTAAAAACAACAACATTCAAATAATATTTATTCTTATTGAACAGAAAACGTGTACATAATAAATATTTTCATTTGAATACAGTGCTGAAAATTGGGGATGACAGCGCACTTCAGTCAAGCGGTGACCGCCCGCGCGTCTGCATTGCAGTGTTGTGCAATTTATTTTTGTAACGTGTCAAAATGTCCTCGGACGTGCAAGAGCGAATTTATTTGAGACTACTACTTTTTAATGAGTTTGCTTCCACAAATGGAAAAGTTTACGCCAGTACAAAAGTTTACAGTGAGAAAAAAAATTAATCAAGCTATTCTAGACGAGTTAAGTGTAAATGAAGGCATGTACACTTCAAATGAATCATATATGTATGGGTATAATACTTAACACTAGGTATATCAACCTTATAATAAAAAATACTGTCAAATAATAACAAATCTGTGATTGTAGAAATAACTAATCATCGTTCTTCGATATCGTAATTTCGATAAAACTCGCCTTTTTTCCTATAGTAGGGATTCACTTCTTCTTTTGCCCACAATAAATCGAGCGTTAGAAATAAATTTAAATCAAAAAGATGTTGTCGCCGTTGTTCAGACATTTCGTTCGCGAATAAAAACAAATATTGTCTCGACAACACAACCATGAACACATCACTACGCCGCTATAGTGTCGCGCGATCTGCCTGCTGGTTTCGAGAACGGGTCTGCGTTTCCCGCCCCGCTCCCGCGTCGCCGCCGCCACCGCCCCGTTGCCCGCATAATTCGAGGCAGAGGCCTAAGGCAGCCCATACACACTCAATCTCGATCGCGATCGGTTATCAAAATTAATGATCACGATCCAGATTGATAATGTACGAATTAGATTGATGGATTGATGCATCTGATCACAAAATATCTAGATATTTTGAAATCAAGATCGCAATCCGCTGATCGTGATCTAGATTGAACGTGTAAACGCAGGATCGCATCAGTCTCGATGTGCGCTTCAATGAAAATGGGCGTCGATGACACGCGCTCACCGTCGCCGCCGATTGAATCGGCGAATTCACCTTCGTTACCTCAATTTTTTAACAAGAAGATTTCATCATATTTTTGGAAACTTCGACAGAGTTATGGATTCCCCAGCATAAATATAATACAAATAATATAAATATAATAAAAAATATATGGATTTATCATTTGTACGTGGACGTGGTAGAGCCATGCTGCAGCTATATTATGGTTGTAGCACGAATGGGTCGGCTCGACCGGGGAAGGACCACGCTCTCACAGAATACCAGCGTAAAATAGCAGCTTAACGCTGCTGTGTTTCGTTTGGTGAGTGTAGAGAACCGGAGACCCTTTTACTTGAAACGAGGCATTCCATTTTAGTCCTCACGGGTGACAACGCATCTGCATTTTGATTCTTAATCAAAGATAGATGTAGATCTCTATGGGCCACAGCAGCCACCTACTATCAGGTGGACTGTGTGCTCGTTTGTCACCCTTATCCTATAAAAAAAAATAGTAACTCATCGAAACATTTTCCCCCCATCCCATGAAGTAGATTTTATAATCGTCAGTTTCAGCAGTTAGTTGAGTTTATTTTAGTAGATTTAAGCGAGTGTATTTCTCTCTTAAGTAGCCACAGTTTAACCTACTGCCTTTTTCGAAACCTTTACTTCAAAGTAAGGGCCAAAACAAGTGATACTGCAGCTTTAACCTCATGTAAATTCATGGCCACAGAGTACTTTTTAATATGACAAGACAACAGACGTTGTTAACGCGGCGGCACAAATTATAAAGTTGTATGTACAAGACGCGGCGGTTACGATACACGGACTGAAGAAATCCAGATTGAACGTGAAATGTTGTGCTGCGATCCCGTGATCCATGATAGCGATCAGAACTGTGTGATTGCAATCGAGATTGAGTGTGTAGGGCTGCCTTTAGGATTAAATCCGTTTCAAGTGATCAGTTGAACTGAAGTCAGTTTAACTGACTGTGTGGGGACCTTAATAGATTTTGCATCGATTGTACCAACTTATCGCAACAATCAAATTAAGTATTTCTTTTGAATATTTAGCACAAGAAAGAATTACACACAAATGTGTAATTCTTTTTTGTGCTAAATATTCAATTAAATAAAAATTATTGTGTAATATACTAACAGAAATTGTATAGAAATAAAATCACACATTTTTTAGTTGTTGTCTTCTCATGAGTATTGCTGTCATTCTTTAATGACCAAGTGAAATTTTGGTCGATATTGAGTTATACACACTGAAAATTATGGAAAATTAAGATTAAATAAACAAAATTAATATTTAAGCCAATGAAAGTGAATGCCAGAGTCATATTATCTAATACCTTTTTTATTGCTTTAAAGTGCTGCAGACGTTAAAGACTAAATGTACAAAACCAAATGCTTAAATGCAGAAGACATGCAATGAAGTTTGCTGATTTTAGATATATTTTACAAGACCCGGAAAAGAAATTTTATAAATAACTTAATAAATAAAAAAAACTTTAAAAGTTTTTCCAATAATGTAAAATTACGGAGCAAATACAAAGCTATGTAACAATGCGTGACAACTTGCGAGGTGAGGGGGTGTTAAGCCCCACCCACTTAACTATTTTCCATCTACCGGTAAATAGTAAAGCTACTCGCATCATTTCATATCGATGTTGCAATGTAGTTTAGCTACCTTGACGGTAGACGGTTGCCTATTCACAAAATGATTACAAAAACTATAGACATAATATTTTGGCGATTAAAAATTCTTTAGGACTGAACGCAAAACAAATTTCAGCACCTTCGTATGATTATTTTACCAATACTGAGCTCTACGTACCTTTATATTTTTGTTCCCATGACACAAAGTGTCGCTATCTAGTGTCGAATATATTTAATCATATTTGAAAGCCGACTCAAAGAGATTTTTCTAGAACTATTTTAATAAATTAGATATAAAATTACTTACAAATGAAATGTATTGCCATCAGAGCGTCTATCTGCGTAGTTTTTACACGATAAAACACAACAATTCATCTTTTTCTTCTTAATACTACGAAAAAACACCGACTTGCGATTTTTGACACATCAGAGCACAGAACGAACGCTGATAGTATACTAACTAAAGCTACGCCCACTGTGATGATGTCAGGACCTAATTAGAATCACAGTGCAGTTGCTTAGGTCATCTCCTCTTTGTATTTGCTTCGTGTGTAAAATTCACAGTTTGATTAATAAAATAAACGTAGATTTAAAATATCGACATTTATTCTTTACAAGTTACTCTCTTGGAGGTTTCAATACGAAACACGAAAAAATATCGATAATATCGACGACATTTTTAATCGCCATATTTATCAATATATCGACATTTAGTTTAGAATATCAAACGATATATTTTAAAATGTTGTATTAATCGACAAAACATTAAGCAACAAAAGCAGCTACGAAAGTATTAAATTTTGGGCCTTATTCTAGTACATGATGTAAAACATGACGATATATATCGATATTTATCATGCGATATATATATAGACTGTTTAAAAATATGGATACTATACCGGGTGTTTGTGAAACGCTCCCGAAAACGGAGACAGATGATAGTAGGTACTACACCTTAGCACTTGGGTCACAAATAAATTTGATCCCGAGGGAAAAAATCATCTTTTCACAACGTTTTATTAACTTTATTCACGCTCCATCATGTTAGTACAGCTAAATGAAACGAGAATTTCATAATAAAAAATCATGAAAAGACTTAAACAAAAAACCAGCAGTGAATCTTAAAAATAACATCAGCTGACAATAGGGTTAATGTCCTCGCGGGCGCCGAACTCTTATAGGTCCCGTCACGTAAAAACGCTGGCCTTGAACCTGGGCACTGAGTGATCTATCGATCAAATTGGTGTTACGAAGTTTCATTTTTCATTTCTATTTTCTTATACAAAATCAAAGATAACGATGAAATAGTGTTTATAATTGTGTGAGT